AGGCCCGACCATCGCCGCCGGCAGGCCAAGCTGGCCCGGCCCCTGCCGAACGGAGTTGCCGGCGGAGCGAAGCGGAGCTGGCAATTTCGTTTGGCTTAAGGGCGGGCCTGCTTGTTTTAACTTAAATAAGCCAGTCTTTGATGTTGTTTACACAATTTTTTTTTTTTTCGGTCACGTTTGCCTTTGCGTCATGATCATTACCAATGTGTATGATGAAATTTAACTACAATTTTTCGAAATATATATGAAAAAGGGGCCAATAAAATGTGTAAAAGCATACCATTCCTTTGATGACACACATAGATCAACTTCTACTTTTAAATGTCGTGTTGATACCCAAGGATACTTTAAAATCACCACATGGTAGTGTTGGCTAAACACGTATGTGACTGCTCGCTCCGATCCGATCTTTCGGTGCACGCCACAAACGCTAAGGCTTCGGTAATATAGGATACTATTGTATTCTATAATATACTCTACATATGATATGATATAGTCTTCGCCAATAAAGCATTCCGGTCAATCTGAAGTGCAGAAGAATGCAAGGAACAAGAAAACGGAAGTCACCATGTAAAAGCATAGCGATTTCCGTTTTCTTCTTCCTCGCATTCTTCTGCATTTGAGCTTTACCGGAATGCCGTATTATATACATTAGCCATATGTACGCCAGACCACGTCTCGCGTAACAGGCTCCGCGATATCTCACGAAACACTGTTGCGCTGCGACGCGCCTGGCGCACATATAGCTAGGCCTGCGGCGCTGACACCCGAGACGAGTTAATAAGAGTGTGTATTCAATTTTTCGATATAAAGCCTTTTTTACGATTTAAAAGTCCATATTGTCATTTTTACCTTATTTTCGTCAAGAAATGCATCCTAGCACCCAAACGGTGGGAGATAGAGCAAATCAGACGAGATTTTCGGCCACGAGGTTCTACTTTCTCAAAATACCCCTTTGAAGCCCATAAAAAAATATTTGGAAAAGACATATTTTGCGACCCGTGGTTTTTGATTTTTTTAAAAGTCAATTTCTGAGCTAGAATGCTCATCTTCGAACTCGATCTGTCTTTTTATGATACAAAACGACCCTGAAATTCCCAGATCGCTCTCTCAATTCATTCTCGAGTTATCGTGCGGACAGAGAGACAGACAAACAAACAAACAGACAAACAGAATGAAACTTTTCCGGTCAGTGGAGTAATGGGCTTCGCTAATCGCTCAGCCAATAACTACCCTAAAAATTTCAGATAACTAACTCAATTTCTTTTTGAGTTATCGTGCATACACTAAAACAGAATGGAGCTTTTTCGATCAGCGGAGTAATGGGCTTCGCTAATCGCTCAGCCAACACATAAGGATAACGTTTTAACTGTTTCATTTTTTAGTTGTCAGATTTTAGATTTGTAGACTAATTCCACCTTTATGGCAGTCAAGAAGAAGAAAATGAATGAGGGTGGACAACGACATCGAATGAAAACAAGACCAATTCAAGGAAGTACGCATCAGATCCTAGTAATATTACACCCATTTTTCTTCTATTTTTCTGAACTTTATCCTTGTTGTATTTTTACTAGCACATTTCACCAAATCACATCGCGTGAGAAGCGTGAAGATTGACGAAAGCTCGCATTAATTGTTAATGATGTATTTTGTTTAACATATGTTTCATTCTCCTTGTTAATGTAATATTTTTCTAAATAGGCCTAGTGTACTTATTAATCGTCACACTGGTCACAGCTGATCATGTCCGAATAGTCGTCTGGCAGCAAACACAGCAAGCAAGCAGGTGATTCTGAATCGTCAGGCAACGAACGCTCTTCAAGTTTAGAGGACACAATGTTTCGATCCAGTAACGCGTTTGCACACAAATAAGCCGCAAAGGAAAAGTAAAACTTCATAAAAATTAGTTTTTGGACCTTTTTTTCAAGATTTTTGAAGTGTAAAACAAAATATCATGAAAATACGACGACATGGTTTTGTAGCGCTAAGTTTGGTGAACAGCATGAGCACAAACCCGATAGCATAAATAGTTCAGGAGCTATGTCCGGAAAACCATTACGGTGCAGAAATCCAAAATGGCAGACTTTGAACGCCCGTCAATTGTGAACGCATGGGCTGATTTTAGGGGAACTCCGTGGGAGTACTCCTAGGACCACCACTGTAAGCCCTAAAAGTTCCCCGCTGTTGCGATTTTTTTT